CACGGGGAGTTGTCTGATGGCGGCTGGCTTGCAGTGCGCTTCTAGAGTTCGAAAGGCTCATCCAGCCTTGAGGCATTCACTTAGCGTGTTACAAAATGGTTGCTGTTTTTATTAGCAATTGTATTCAATGGTGTAAACCCAAGTAATCAGGTAATGTTTGTTTTTAACAGAATTGAACATGGCTCAGTGGTTGGGTTCATCCAAAACTCACGGTGCTTGCATCAAATCCACCAGTTTTAATTCTGATAAAGTTCTTGCAGCAGTCCTGGTTGGCTGCCAGTTTAACAAAGATCACATCCAAAGTTTTTCTGTTCCTGAGGTGCTTTAAAGATGAGGTGGCCCATGCAGCGTAACTAAAAGAGTAGCTGTTTCCTTACACTGTCATAGGACACTTCTGAGGCTCTGAACAGACAATATTTTTGCCTAAGCGAGCACTTTTTTTTCACTGTTAAAATAAAAAAAAACACACAATCCTGAACCTTAGGAATCTTTATCCAGAGAACAATGCTTTTGTAAAAAGCTTTGTTGCCAATGTTCATGGCCCTTTGCTACACAGAAGTCTGGATGTAAAGTGCAGATCAAGAGAACTTGTCTGTGATGTTTTTGGTGCAAAGTACTTTTTAAAGAACGCTTAGAGTTCCTTTACTGGCTACTGCAGTTTGAATCTTGTTTTATTCTTTGGTAGGTTGTTTTATCGGTGCCTTAAAAGTAAGTTGAATGGGAAGAAATGGTGTGGAAGCGTCCCATGGCAGGTATGAATGTTTCATTTGTATTACAGTATCAGTTTATTCTAGCATGACTTTTTGTTCTGTATGCTATAGTCACCTTTGAGACTACATAGTGGGAGAGTTTGTATTTTCTAGCTAAAAACGTATCAGCCTGCTGTCCTCCGGATGAGACTTCTCTTACTCCTAAAATGTGTGAAGTAATCACTGTTCTCCAGTCTTAAAAGAAACTTGGGTTTGGTCTCTGGCTGTCCTCTTTTCTTGAGGGTGATGCTGTTGGGACTAGATCCCCAAGAAACATGGGAATGGCAAAGAAAGCAGAAAACTAGCAGCTTTATTTTGTTTTCTTTGTAAAATGTTTATCCTGATCCTGTTAATATGATAGAAAAGATGATGTTTGTTGTAGAGAATGAAGTCTTGCTTGAGATGATCAGGGTCTGTGTATGGTTAGCAGGCTTTAATAACTTGTACGTTAGTATTTACTCACTT